ATTATTATTATTATTATTAATTAATAACAAACAAAAAAATTCAAATTCAAATTTTTTTAATTTCTCGTTCATTCATTTAAGACTCTTTATAAAATAATAATAATAATAATAATAATAATAATAATAATAATAATAAAATTAATAGAAATTCGAGTATTTGTCCCTAAGGAATCGGGTAGAAACCTGGGATAAATACTTAAAAACCCCGACAAATAAGAGCCTTGTCGTGTTTAATAGTGGACATAATAATAATAATAATACATTATTGGTTTTAATCATTCTCGTAACATATATAATACATTAAAAACAAAAAAAAAAAAATTTAATTCCTAAGGCTTTTTATTTAATTTTAATTAAAAAGGTGTAGTAGTAGTAGTAGTAGTTTCGAATGCACCACGTATGTGCGCGTAAATTTATTCGGAAAAATTTTAAAGCGATCGATTAAGGCTTTTCAAATCATTATTATTATTATTATTAAATTTTCCTTTTTATATGTTTCTCTTACGAGAATATTAATTAGATATATATAAACAATTGAATTAGAATAACCAAAAAAAAAAAAAAAATTTTTTTTTTGAAAATAACATACATATATATACTTATATATATAACCAATCGAAAATTTTAATTTTTTTACTTTCAAACGTAACAAAGTATTATAAAAAAATAGAAAAATTTTTGCACATATTTATGTATGTATACATATATCATTTCTCTCGTTATTTTCTTTAAAAATTCAAAATTAAAAACAAAAACAAAATTTCCAAAATATTAATTATTTTATTAATATAAATTATTCAAGGCACTAGAATAATTTTTATTAATTATGCCGATTTTATTATTATTATTTATTTATTTATTTTTTTTTTTTGTAAATTTAATTATTTATAAAAATCTTTTCTTTATTTATTTAAAAAAAAAGAATTTGTTAAAAATTAAAATAATGAAATCCGGCTTCAGTCGAATAAAATATAATTAATAATAGAATATACATGTGTAAAAAAAAAAAAAAAAAGAAGAGAAACATAAAATAAATACTATGATTAGTAAAACAAAAAAAAAAAAAAAAAAAAAAAAAAAATAGATTATTTAAACTATCGTTCAAGTTTTTCCGACTTGAATCTTTCCTAACTAAATTTTAAATTTTTCCATCATATATATATATATTTATATATATTTATTATGTACAACGAAAAAAAAAACGGCATTGTTATTATTATTATCATTATCATTATTATTAATATTATTAATATTATACCTTGGTTAAAATTCCACTTTTCTTTTGATGAGCAGCAAAAGATTTCAACTTTTGTCAACTCGTCGTGGCAACGTCTGTTATGGAATTAGTAGATACGTTTCCTTTAGCATTTTGATTCGTGTGATTAACGCGAAGCCTTCGCCTTTTCCAACAATCGGGATGGCGTCGTTTGTGTTCCGTTGCCATGGCTGCTGCACGTCGTACATAATCGGCTCTTTCGCTTGCGTCAAGCTCTCTCCAAGCTGTACCTAAAACTACACTGATGGCACTGAAAAAAAAAACGGTAAATAAAATTTTACTTAATTTTTTACTTGAGAGGGGGGGGGAGGGGGAAAAAAGGCGGGAAATTTTAAAATCGCGATCGGTGGTGAAAAGTAAAAAAAAAAAAAAAAAAATTCATCTCTCTCTCATCTTACCGATTATCTTTACCAGGATGCTGTTGAATCAAAAGAGGTCTCTGATGCTTGGCAAAAAGCATAAATGCATTCATCGGCCTCCTCGGTCTTTCGTCATCTTGCTCTTTTTTTAATTTTTTATTTCCATCCGCATCATTTTTATCTCCCATAGATCGTTTGAATACGTTTGAATTATTTTTAGATTTGTTATACGTGTGTGCTCTATTGTAAGTTCCAGAAGTTTTCATTAATTGTAATTTGCTAACGATCGAATTGTTTTCGTTGAAATCGTGATTTGTCAATCTACTCGTTAAATTACTGTGACTCAATTGAGCGTGGCTCGCGTAAGGATTTTCAACGTGAGCCGAATTCAAATAGGATTCACCTAAATCTATGAAATGGTTGTATGAGAAATTCATATGCAACTCACTCGAACATGAGTTTTGAGATCGCGGTTCACTTTTTATTGAACTTATAGGCTCCTTTTTCACACCGAAATAATTTCCCTCCGCCTTATAATTTATTTTATGGCAGTCTAAAGGCAAGAGAGCAGGCACAGAATCCGAATGAACGGAATCTTCCTTTTCCGTTTTTATTGAGAGATCATCTTGATTAACCGAACATTTTGCATCGTATATATCGGATTTTCTATCCGTGTTAAAATCTAAATCAATTGGCTCTTGTTTGATTCCCTCGCTTGAAAAATGTCCTTCTGCTATATTTTCTTTTTCGCTTCGAAATTTTATATTTAAATCCCTTTGAATTTATTAAAATCCGATTTTGTTTCCTCCGTTTTTATCTTTTCATTTTCATTTTGCTCGATCGGCTCCGTTTTTATTGATATCGGTTCGGGCATGATAAAAAAGTCTTGAGGTGGAAGAAATCCCGGTCGGGTTGGAGTGTTTAATGGACTTTTCATTGGAAATTTTTCCACGTCGAATAATGTTGAATCAACGTGACTTTGAAGGAAGACAGATCTTGTGGGTGTTTGAAGTGGACTTTTCATTGAATTTTTTTCCATCGCGGGTATGGGTAAGAGATCAGACGATGGCCGAAACAGAGAATGACAAGCCATTGGACTTTTTATTGGATCACATTCGTTATTAAAAAAAGATGCAGAAGTGTTTGGAGAAGGTAATAGAGATTTTATCGGTTCTTGAAGAAATCTTTTGTTAAAGAAATGTGATGTAGGAGATGAAAGAGGTGATTTCATTTGTAAACCTAACGATGGGGATGGAGCTGTTGGTTCTTTTGTAATGGGACTTGCTGGTATTCTCGGTGATTCCGGACTATCACATTCTGAGCTGGTTTGAGTGCTTGAATAACTGTGAGCTCTAAAAAAAAAAAAATTAACAAAAACGCAATTTTAATTATGAATTATTATCATTTATTAATATAAATATCATATATTTGATAAAATTTAATAATTTAGGTGCAGTATAGAAAACTCAAAGCACAAAAAACAGGTTACATTTTGAAATTACTAATTATTCCCAAAAATACTTACAAAATCAATTTATAAATGTGTTTTGTAATTTATATAACATCTCTTATATATTTGAGTATAGAATATACATGCATTTTTCCAAAAAAAACAAATTTTATACAAAATAATTTTTAGTAATAAATTAGGTAATAAACTAAAATCGAACATAAATTATGTAATATTAAAATGGCTGTAATGTGTATCTTTTAAATAATCAAGTCTAGTTATTAACTCATCAATTAGTTTTTCTGAGGGATAAATTAATTTTTAATGATTTACATTTAAAAAAGAAGTAGTTTGATAATACCTTCAAAAAATTAATTTATTCAACATTTAAAAACACACACACACACACACAAAAAAAAAACAAAATATTATTGTTTTTAATAATAATAAATTTATGCATAACATAGAATTATTTAATTGAAAATTGGTTTACCTTTTTCGAAACGGAAGGTTTTTTTGAACTAAAGGACTTTTTGGGCTGGTCGTGACCGTAGCAAAATCTCTGAGTGGGCTCGGTGAAGTTTCTGATTCTCCCATTGCAGTCAAATTCAATGGAGGTGGAATTGGTTTCGACTTCCGAGCCATTTTTGCACTTAAGTCTTCTGCGTGATGATGATCTTGAAAAAAAGTGCTATCTTCTTCTTTATCCATAAGAAATATACTGTAAAATTTAACAAAGTGTGATAACTTTTAACAGAAGCGCTCAAGTTTCTGTCCATTCATTTAGAAAAATTTATGAATACACTGGACTTGACCTTGAACTCTAAGTTTTAGTTTTTTAAAAATTAATAAATCTTATTTTAACTCATTATCTAAAATACTTACCTAAATTCTTTCAAAGGTTTAAACAATTAAACTTAGCAAAGGTTAAAGAATAACAGGATAAAACTACAAAAAAATAATCGACTTATACAGATATAACACATTTTATTATCCCATACCAAGTTGTGGTGCCAACACAATACACAATAATTTAATTTTCCTTTGAATGAATCAGAGCCCTCTCTGCATACACACTCAAAACAGTTTCCTTGTTACATTCTCGCGTTTCGATTATATAATTAAATATACTTTTATTTTGCATTTAACTTAAAGTTTATTAAAACGATTTTTAAAATGGGTTCGACGGGTAAAAAACATAAAAGTGAAAAAAAAAAGAAAAGAAGTAAATCTCCGGAAAGACGTGAAAAACATCGGACTCATAAGCGGCATCACAGGGATAGAAAAAGAAAAACTGAATATATTGAAACAGAGGATTTAGTTTCCTCGTCTTCCAACAGTGAAGGTAAATATAAAAGGGACAAGTTTCATTGGGAAAATAATTTGCTTTAAGGCCATGTAACCTTCCCCGTTTCTGAATATTTCAGGCAAAGACTGAAGTTTGGATTCTTATTTCAGTGGAAGAAATACATGCGCCACCACCTCCGAAAATATCCAAGTTATCAGGTTTGATGTCTCCTAGTTCCAAGCCCTCTAAAGATCTTGCTCCTCCACCTCCTGTCATATCGGACACAGTGTCAGATGGAAAATCTCATGTAAGTAAAATATCATTTAACTACATATAAGAAACAAAACCTGTAAAGAAACATACCTGAAAGAAAAAGATTGAAAATAATTGAAATTGTAAAGCTTTTTTTAACAAAGTTTTCCTGTATTTCGATAAATAAGAGCCCTATACATTTTAAAAGAAAAGTAACTAAGTAACTTGACTCAAACTAGACATGCATTAATATATTCAAATTTTCAATGAAAAATATTTATTATTACAATAAAGTATAACTAATTTATTTATCGATTGAAAATTTGAATTTAATTAATTAATTATTGTAAATTTAGGAATCTTTGTCCATTGAAGAAACAAATAAAATAAGAGCTAAACTCGGTTTGAAACCATTAAAAGTATCAACAAATGATGAAAATCAAAGTGGAAATGAAAAAGATAGTTCATTGCAATCTGAAAATGAATTTGTTCATAAACCAGCCACTAATTTTGCAGACAAAATCAAAGGAGAAAAAATTAAAGAAAGGTAAGTTTTGAATTTGAAAATTCTTATGTTTTTTTTGCATTATGATTCATTATATTTTTACTATTTAATTTATCTTTATTTGAAAATAGAAATTAAATTTAAATTTTTAAATACTACATACTTTTATTACATGTGCGATTGGCAGATTATCGGAAAGGAAAGAAAAAAGAGAAATTGAAAAGAAACTCAAAGCTTTTAAAGGGCTAGGAGATGAAAGCGAAAGTGATGAAGATGTAAAAAGTTGGGTGAAGAAATCGAGGCAAAAAGAATTGGAAAGAAAACAAGCAGAAGCTAGAGTAAGTGAATTAATAATAGTTTTATAGTGCTAAAAGTTACATTAATATTTGTCTATGTGTAAATATATAATTATTTTGAATTAGGAAAAACTGCTGGATGAACTTGATGAAGAATTTGGTGTCGGTTCTTTAGTCGAAGAAGAAAAAAAGGATTTTCACAAAAATGCTTACACAGCTAAAGACTTAAAAGGTCTCAAAGTTGGTCACTCCCTTTTAGGGTTTCGAGATGAAAGTTCTTTAATATTGACACTAAAAGACCAAGAAGTTTTAGGAGAAGGAGATGATGTGCTAGTAAATGTTAATATGATTGAAAATGAAAGGTATGTCATTTTAAAAAAAAATAAAATTAAAAACCAAAAAAAAAAAATTATTGTTTGATAAAAATAATATTTATTTAGGTACAAGAAAAATATTGAAATTAAAAGAAAATCAACCAAATACGATGATATGGACAATTTTGATGATCCTTTAGTTGAAAAATCAGTTTTATCAAAATACGACGAAGAAATTGATGGTCCTAAAACGGAGGAAGGCTTTCGCTTAGGTACAATACTTTGAAAATTGCATTTATTTTTATTTTTGCCAAGTATACAAATTAATAAATTTATAATACATTGTATTATTGTATAAATGAATGTCAATTAGGATGCAATTGTAATTTTTTAAATTGAACTCAATTTAGGTGAAGAGGATTCTCAATTGGAAAAAGTTAAAAGGAAGTTGGCTTTGCAAATAAATTGTTGGAAAGGGGACCCACCGTATCTCTGAATACTTCCGTTTTAAACTTGCACTGATTACTACACGGAAGAAGAATTAAATCAAAATTTAGAAACAAAATAAAGTGCGAGCGAAATCGAGTAAACTTTTTTAATTTACATCTTATCTAAATTTAACGCGATTATTTAATTTTCAGGCCAAAAAATTAAGGAAAAAACCGAAAATGTTAAAAGCTGAAGATTTGCTACCTCAACAAGAAATGACTTGGCCCTCGGAGGATTTAGGATCTAGGAGACTTAAAAATTCTGTTCCTCCGGAAAAAATTTCCGCCGCCGTGGAAAACACGATAAAAAAAGAATTGATCGAAGATGTCATGGATGTCGATGATTTACCTCCGCCAGTGGATGATCTTTCAGGTTGATTAATATTTTTAAATGTTTAACATTTTAATTGAATCGAATTTTTTTTTTTTACGTTCGTATTTTTGTGTTTTCGATACAGATATAAAACTTGAAGCCGATGAAGGAGAATTAGAACTTCAGCTGGCATTGAACAAAGCAAGAAAATTAAAATTAAAAGATAGGCAAAATAATTCTGCGGATACCATCGCAAAAGAAATTATCAACACTTCGACGAGGTAAAAATAATTAATTAATAAATTTATTCATTCTCCAATTTAATTTTTCAATAATTAATAACACCTTTTTGTAATTTAAGTCATAATAATGACGGTCCGGGAGGAACAATCATTTTAAATTCAACCGCTGAGTTTTGTCGAACACTCGGAGATATTCCCACTTACGGTTTGTCGGGAAACAGGGAAGAAGACGAACAAGAATTGTTGGATTTTGAACGAGAAATAAAAGAAGAGAAAAAAAAACTCACGGATGATAAAAAAAATGTCGGCGCGTGGAACGAAGTGGAATTAGGTGAGTGAAATTTCTGGCGAAACTTGTATGACTCATGCCTGTCATTCAGAATTTAATCCGCGTTGTAATTAATTATTACAGATGAACATTCCGCGGATTTACTACCGAAGGAAGTTTCAATTTTGGACGCGGAACCCGACGTTGGTTCGGGTGTGGCCGGAGCTCTTCGTCTTGCCCTTAGCAAAGGGTATTTAGAAAAAGAAACGGAAAATCGACCTTCGGCTTCCAGATTTGCTCACCTTCAGGCTCAAAACTATTCGATAGAAGATAAATCTCACGGGTTGGTACATATTGCAACATTTTTAGTCCTCTTTATTTGATTTTTATTTGAAACTAACCAACTTTACTATTTAGGGATGATGATAAATTTGGAAGGAGAGATCGGTACATAGGTCCGACGACGGATTTTAAAGAAAAAGACAATTACAAGCCGAATGTAAAACTTGATTACATTGATGACGAGGGACACATTTTAAATGCTAAAGAAGCTTTCAGGTATCTGTCTCATAAATTTCACGGCAAAGGCCCTGGAAAAAATAAAGTGGAAAAGAGAATGAAGAAAAACGAACAAGAAGGGGTAAGTTTATTTATTATCATTATTACGTTACTCGATTTTTTTTTTTTTTTTATTTAACCCCCCCTTTTTTTTTTTCGATAAAATTAATTTTCAGTTAATGAAACAAATGAGTTCGACCGATACGCCTTTACGAACTCTTACAATGTTACAACAAAAACAAAAAGAAACTCAGTCTCCGTACGTTGTACTGAGTGGAAACAAACAATTACATTCAACAACAATATCCAAATCCAAACATTAAAAAAAAAAAAAAATTAGAACTCATTTGTAAAAAAAAAAGAAAAAAAAAGGGATTTAAAAAAAAGGAAAATTAGGGTGGATATTAATTATTATTATTATTACTTTCAAAAAAAAAAAAAAAAAAAAACTTTTGTGTATTTATTTCCGTTAAATTTTTTTTTTTTTTTTCTTATTTTAAAATCCCTTTAAAAAATTTTACTGAAGAAGTGGATATAGAATTTTTTTTCTTTTTTTCCATAGAGATAAAAAACACATTATTAAATAAATAAATAAATAAATGCATTAAATGGCTTTTTTTTTATTTATTTAATAATAAGAGTTAAATACGTAATTTCAATAACGGTTAAATTACTAACACGTCGTTTACATATATAATTTTAATTTCGTTTTTAAATATTTTTTATTTATTTATTAACAAGTAATAATAATAATAATAAGGGATAAGGGATAAGGTATAAGCGTCTGGTTAAAAACTCGTTAACCATAAAAAAAAAAAAAAAAAAAAAAATTTACAAGAATTATAAAATGGCGGTTGGTTAAATTTTTTCTGGCAGCTGGGAGAGACACACACACACACACAATTCATGAGAGATTAATGATTTGACCCGGGATTATCCTCCTTCCCTGACATTAAACTATCATACTGTATAATAATATCGTATATACGTAAAGGGATAAATAATTCAATTTAATCCCCGATCGCATACGTTTCAATTTGAATTTAAATTTGAATTTTTTAAATCTTTGAATTATCCGCTTAGTTAGAAAATGAAAATTATTTCGGGCAAAAAAAAAAAATTTTTTTTTTAATTATCGTCGCCATTTTGTTTTTGTTTTTTTTTTCAAATTATAATATTTAAAATAATTTCCAGAAAGAAAAAATTAAAACACAAACGCGAGGAACATGTTTTTTTGTTGTGAAAAATGGGAGTAGAATTAAATGTAGGGATTTCTGGGTGGTCTTTTGTATTAAACTAGGCTGTTTACCCTTGTCACTTTGTTGATGGCAAAAGTATTAATGTTGGATTACAATGCCCAGATTACAACTATATATGAGACCTATTTTTTTTTTTTTTTCTTTCTTTTTATGTTCATTCGACTTTGCGAAACGACCCCCTTCCCCCTCTTCCCTTTCAAAATCCTTTTTTTGTATATGTGATCGTGTGTGTGAGTGTGTATGAACTCTTGTTCATTTTTTTATCAATGCAAAAAAGAAAATTATTTCGATTCGTTAAATCCCCCCCTCTCCTCCTCCGAAAAAAAATTAATGAGAATTTTAATAATTTTGATAAAGTTAATAAGAAAATGTTAGTGATAATAATAATAATAATAATAATAATAATAATTTAAAGAAAAAAAGGGAAAATCGACGGGGCGTAAAGAAAAATAACTCATATCGACACCCAATAATAATAATAATAATAAGAAACCAATTAAATCCCCTTAAAAAAGGAATCGCAAACAAAGAAACGTCACATCAAATTTATCATTTGAAAACATTTTCTTTTTTTTTTTTTTTTTTTTTTTTTGATTTCATTTCCCGGGACTTGAGTTTCCCGGTACGAGTTTTTCAAATGGAATAAACGGGAATTTACTTTTCTTTTTTTTTTTTTTTTTTTTTTTTTTTTTTTTTTTAACCGATAAAATTTTATTTTCATCCATACAAAACACACGGGATAGAAGGAAAAGTTTTTCCGCGCATGTTAGAAAAGAAAAATTTTCCTTTTTTAAGGCGGGACTTTACGTTTTCAATCCTTGGATTTAATTTGTTAATCTTTTTACTATTATTATCATCATCATCATTATCACTGAATTTAAACCGTTATTTTTTTTTTATTAATAATAATAATAATAATATAAGAGTAGTAATTAAAACTATTGGAAAACTTCGATTAATGAAAATTCAATAATAATAAAAATTTATTTTTTCTTTCGGAAAATTTCGGAAAGCATTATTATTATTATTATTATCGTTACATTTTTTTTATGCAAAAAAAAAAAATTGAAGGTATATATATTAGGGGGGTGGGGGTGGGGGTGATTCGTTGTCACCGTAGTAACGTTTCATCATCATCATCATCATCATCATCATCATTTTCTTTTTTTTCAACCGTTTAATGTCATCTTTTATATTTTTATATGCCTTTGACAAATATTTTTCCAGTTCACGTGTCGTCTTTTCTCTCTCTCTCTCTCTCTCTCTCCTCATTCCTCCTCCTATCAATTCAAAACTAATCAAACGCCATATTGAATTTTTTCCATTCGGAAAAGAATATTATTATTATTATTAGATATTTAAACGTGAATTTTCCGACATTGTAAAAATAATAATGACTAAATATTAAATATTGTAAACGATTATTTTCTCACTCACTCTCTCACACCCACACACACACTCTCTCTCTCTCTCTTTTTTCAAAGAAAACATATTAAAAGGTATCGATATCATCATAGATTTGTATGTATATAATAATAATACGACGGTAAATTTTTATTTTTTTTTGAAAATTTTTTACGGACGGTTGAGTATTTGTAAATACGTAAAACAGGATTAGTTATTATTATTATTATTCAGTGGGTGGGTGGTACGGAAAAAGAATTTTTTTTTTTTTTTTTTCACAGATATTTTATTGTTAATGATGATGAATTGTTGTTTAAAAAATTTTGGTGTTTGTCGAATTATTATTATTATTATATTTTAATCTTTCGTATGAAAACCGCCAAATTATTTTTTTAAAAAAAAATTCAAAGGATTTATTATTATTATTATTATTATTATTTTACACGATAAATTAACCCGGGTATTTACCAAACAACAACAACAACAAACGAATGGAGGAATGAATATTTGTGAAACAAAAAAAAAAAAAAAAAAATTAATAGTTTCGCACCTGGTTTTTGTCGTTTTCGAGTGCTGTACAAACAATTACAACCATCTTGTTAAACCATTTTTTACCTTAATTGTCAAGAAGGTATTTTATGGTTCGTCAATAATATTCCAAGTGTTATTTTCCTCACTTTTTTTTTTTTTTTTTTTATTTTATTTAAAGTAAAACTGAATTAACTGCCACCGCCATCACCATCACCATCACCATCGAAAATCATATTCATTGTTTCATTTAATGTTTATCCCCCCTTTCTCCTTCTACTCCTCTTCCTCCACTCCTGCCACATATTGTTTTATATATAATAATAAATAAGTTGAGAGATGGATGGATGGAATATTGTTGTTAGGATTGTTGAGGTTTTTACCTTTTTTTTTTTTTTCCACATAAAAGTTTGGTTAGACCTGTATAAACCTGAATAAAAAAAAAGCATTTTTTTAAATGATGATGATGATGATGATGGTCGGTCGATCGATCGTGTAGACATCAAAATAAACATACATTTAATAAAACAAATAGGAACCGGATACGCCTTATTGAATATGTCTAATCCCTCAAAATACATGGCAAACAAAACGAAGGCACTCGAAAAAAAAATAGTCGTCAACAACAAATCTTTTTTTCACTTAAATCTCCTTAAAAAAAAATTTTGTGACTCTGTTAGTTAAATAATAATAATAATAATAATGATAATTTCATAATTCACACGAAATTGTGTGTGTAAATAATAATAATAATGGTAACAAAATAAAAATAACAACAACAACAATTTATTAATTATTATTATCGGAGATTTAAATTAAAAATGACCTTTTTTTTTGGGGGGGGGGGATTCGATTGGGTTTTTTTTAAATAAAAGATTGAAAGGAATTAATAGAAAGAAAATTTTTTTTTTTTTTTTTTTCCATATCCGGTTTTGTTTACACAACATTATCGTGGATATTAAAGCCGTTTAACGGAAATCAAATTTGAATGTATTTGGTATCAAATTACCACTCATTAGCACATTACTACCTTTCATTGTTTGTTTTACGGAGGGAGGTGGGCGGTTGGGCGTGCGTGTGTGGGGAGGGGGGAGGGGGGAAAGGGGTTTTCAATGCCATCGATTAGTTGGTTCTAACGACAAACGACAGCAACAGAAGTCAATCGTTTCGATTACAATATACATATAAAAATGAGGAAAAGGGGGGAGGGGGGAGGGATGGATGGATGTGTAAACATTGAAAACTCTACGACAATATTTATTATTCAATCATTATTATTATTATTATTATTATTATTATTATTATTATTATTATTATTATTAATAGACTACAATAATTTTTTTTTTATTAATTTATTTTTAAATAACATTACAATTACAACAATTTTTAAAATTAAATTAAATTTTATTTACATAGTTTTGAGGAAAAAAAAAATTAATACCTTTTAATACCTTAAATAATAATAATGATGATGATGATGATGATGATAATTATAATAATTTTGTGTGTTTTGGCACAAAAAAAAAAAAAAAGGAAAAAAGAGGAAAAATTTAAGCAACTTCTAAATCGGATGATTCTTCTTCTGATAATTGATCCAACCTTTGAAGATTTGTTACTTTTCTATTAACTTCTTCTTGTAATTTACGAATTCTATCTTGTTCTTCTCTTTTTTGTTTCCGCCATTTTGCTCTACGATTTTTAAACCATACCTTAAAAAATAAAAAATAAAAAAGATTTTATAGGGGGGAGAGACATTTTGGGAGACGACATAAAATTCGTTTGTATTTGATAATAAAAAAAAAAAAAATTAATGGATATTAATTAAATTATTTAACGTAAATATTTAACGTGGTAGAAAGAAGCTGTAGGCGTATAAAAAAAGAGAGAGAGAGAAAGAGAAAGGGGGGGGGGGAGAGAGAAAGAGAGAGAGAGAAGAAAATAAAAAAAAATCTATTAAAAATGTTTTTTTGTTTAAATTAAATTAGAGTTTTACCGTTTTTAATGAACCATGTTGAAATAACTGTATTGTTATAATTTTTTTTTTTTTTTTTATCAGAATAATAATAATAATAATAATAATAATTTTTTTTTCTGTAATTGTTTCAAAAACAGTTAATTAATTAATTATTCCCAAGTCAGTTTTTTTTTTTTTTTTTTAAAACATTTGAATAAAAAACTTTTTTTTTTTTTATTAATTTTTTTCCTTTTCTCTTTTCTCTTTTCTTTCAGTTTTTTTTTTTTTTCCTCATTCATTTTAGAGTTTTCTTCTTAAATTATTCAATTTTTTCATCATCATCATCCTCCTCATCCTCCTTCTCCTCCTACTCCTCCTTATCCTCCTCCTCTGTTGCCAACCAACAGCTTCCCTCGTTTTTTCGATTTTTCTCCTTTTTTTTTTTTTGTATTTTTCTTTTGTGTTTTGATTATTGTTCAATTTTCAGTTACTCTCTCTCTCTTTCTCTCTCTCTCTCTCTACCCTTTCTACCCTTATTTTTTCTGAATTATTTATATCATTGATTGTGTAAAAAAAAAATAATTAAAAAACCCCAAAGAATCAATTTAAAAAAAATAAAAATAAAAACGGGGGAAAGGTTATTTATAAGTATCGATAAGATTTTTATTTTTTATCATTTCCGCCATTTTTTTTTTTTTGTAATCAGGTTCGGTGATAAGAAATTAATTTAATTAACTAAATTAATAACAAAAAAAATAAAACAAAAATTTTTTTTTAGAATGATAATAATAAATAATGCAAAATTCTGTAACGAACTTTTTTTTTTTTTTAAATACGAACAAACAAAACAAATTAAATAAAACAATTCTAATAATAATAATTAAATTAATTAATTAAATTATTATTATTCTTTATAAAATCTTCATTCATTTTCAATAAAAGCCCCCCCCCCCAAAAAAAAAAAAATTATAAATATATATTATTATTATTCGTTTCCAAGCTTAAATCAATATTGTATCAAAAGTTTTGATTGAATTTCTAAAAAGGAAGGAAGGAAGGATGGAAGGATGGAAGGTATTGTTTCTAACGATGAGAAATATGAAAAATTAAATTTGATTATTAATTATTATTATTATAGAGTTAGAATTGTGTGAGAGAGAGAGAGAGAGAGAGAAAGAGCCCTTTGGCGACCGAAATGCGGTTAATTTATAACCCTCGTCTTCCTACAATAACCCTCCTCACTCTCTCTGTGTGTGTGTGTGTCTTTTTGTTACCACCGCATTACCACCCCATATCTTGTTCCATTATGAACCCTCATTTGATGAAATCACTACAAATTTATCATCATCCCCCTTGTTCATGTAATAATAAGGTTCATGTTACAATTTAACTCCTGCTTTTTCTTTTGTTTTAACGCTTTTTGACTTTATAATTGCATCACGAAAAGAGTGAGAGAGAGAGAGAGAGAGAAAGTAGCAATGGACCGTTTTCGATCGTTCATTTCCTTTTTAATTTTTCCATCATCATCATCATCATCGAACAAATTCATTATTATTATCATCAGTTTAATTAGTATTCTTTAAAAAATTTAAGGTATGGCGATTTAGTATTTTTTTTAAATTCGATTCTTTCCCCCCCCCCCAAAAAAAAAAGAAAATAACCGCGTTTGTTGTTTGTTTATGTTTTGAATATATATAACGGACAGGGGAGGGCTGGGGAGGGGGCGGAGGGGAATTATTTAAAATGTAGTGCGTGGAAAAAATAAGGAATTAAAATAAGAAAAAAAAGAAAAAAAAAAAGTTTTCGATTATGTTTGAAGCATCACAAAAGTTTTCGTTCATATTGAAACCGTAGAAATTTAGTCAATTTGATTATTGTAAATAATTTTTTTTTTTTTTTTTATTCTTCAGTGGTGGGTTGTTTACCAACTATTATTGACAATCAATCATTCATCATGTTTTTAAATTGAATATATTTATTTATAAATCGTTTTCATTGAGAAGAAGGATTTAAAATCGGGCTTCACCCGTTTAAAGAAAAAAAAAAGAAAAAAAGCAAATGGGGGGGTTGTGAAAATTTTTAAAACCTTCAATCTCTCTTTATCGATCTCTCACACCGCAATTCGTATCATAGGGATATTATTATCAATATTTTTTTTTTTTGGGGGGGGCAAGGGGTAATTAATTATGTTTTATAAAAGTGCGTTCTTACCTCAACTCTTTCTTCTTTTAAATCGACTTTTAAGGCCAGTTGCTCTCTTAAAACAACATCAGGATAATGAGTTTTTTCAAACGTGGCCTCCAATTGTTCCAATTGTTCTTCCGTAAATATCGTTCTATGTCGTCTTTTTCTCTTGGGTGGTGCACCGTGTAAAGAATGATGACCGTGATGGTGAAAACTACCGTTGGCCATGTTTAATGCAACCAATGCAGATGCAGCAGCGTGAGACATGTAATTTGCTGCTGCTGCCGAATTATATAGATTCGGATAGGCTGCCACTGCTGGAAACCAAAAAAGAAAAAAAAATTATGAATGTAAAAAGAAAGAAATTTTTTTTCTTTTAAAGTCGAACAACTAAAACCCGACGGGTGTGTGATGATTTTTATATTAAAAAAAAAAAAAGAAAGCGGAGGTAGTTTGTTTAAATCATGACGAAAGTGCTTTCAAAGGTCGATTTGAATTTTTTTTTAAACTCGCCTCCAACAAAAATATAACTAAATACTTTATAAAAGTAATGTTTGCTGAAGCATACTTAAGAAGTATTTAGAAATAGGAAGAAGAAGAAAAAAAAGTAAGAAGATGCAAAAAAAAAAAAAAAAAAAAAAGCGTAAATCGTGAATATGTCTACTTAACCCCGACTTTTCCCATGGGTTTTTCAACGGCGCCTTATAAATCCTCTAAAACTTTCCAAAGATTTTTATACTGCATTAAGTAGGCTACTACTTAGGGTCGGGAAAAGGAGGAAGGAAAAACGATGGGCATTATAGGGAAGAAAAAAAAACACGCGGACGAAGAAAAGGAAAAATTGTTAAAATCCATTCTATAAAAATATTTCATATTTAAATTCTAAAGGAAAAAAATAAATAAACTTTTTTTTTTTTGGATTCTTTATATAAGATTTTTCGAGAAAAAAAAAATTTCTTAAAAATCAATTCATTAAGATGAAGAAAATGGTTAAATGAGGTTATTCAAAATAAGGCGTGGCAAGTCGTTGTCATAGTAAAAAGAGCACCACCACCACCAAATGCCACCACCATCACCATCACCCATCACCACCACCACCATCGCCACACCCTTAATTTTTTGCATCAAATTTTTTTTTTTTGCCCCCTCGGTATAATCATATAATTTTATAAATCATATATCGTTAAAAATGTGCAACAAGTTATTTTTTTAATTTTATACAAAAAAAAAAAAAAATAATTTTTAAACGTTTCCTCCTCATTTTACACGGCGACATATCCCTCAGGACTATTTTCCCTGTTTTCCCCTTCTCTCCATCCCTCTCAATCCCCTTCCCTGTTCGTCTACATTTATAGCTATTAACAAAAAAAATTTTTTTCTTTTTTTTCTCTAGTTAGTTATTCGATTTTTATTTTTACTGAATTTATTATTATTATTATTATTATTATTATTATTATTATTATTATTAATATTATTATTATTATTATTACGTTAGTTCGTTGCGACTTTAAAAAAAAAATTTTTTTGAAAATGGCGAATGAGAAGAGGGAAATTCATACCTAAAAAATCAGCAGATGAAGCTCCGAAACTTGATGCGGCAGCTGCCAAATGTCCTAAATGAAAACCGGGATGAATGACTGTTCCCATTCTGGAATGACTGTTTGTCACGGTACCTTTAGCGAGTATGTTATCAATGCTAAATGATGAACCGACCGAACGATTGCTACCCGATTCCGTTAAATTATTTAAAAACAATTGGGATTTTCTCACATCTCCACTATTTTTATTATTATTATTATTACTACTACATATTATTTGTTCGCGATCGGTTTTCACTTCCGGTTTATTTATTGTCAAATCACCGTTTTTATTATTATAATTACACGCGTCGGAACTTTCTGGTCCGATCATTTTTTCCGTTTCTATAACGGAAAGTCTTTCGTTACCCGAATAAGATGGCGACATGGTTCCTCCATCAATTTTTTGAGAATAATATTGCAATTCGGATTCCGATGATGATGATGATGATGACGATGACGACGAAGACGATGACGTAGACGACGACGATGACGTCGCTGACGATAATTGTCTTAATTCGATTAAATTTTTTTTTTCATTTTTTCTCTCTTTGGATTCTTCTGGAAAATCATTCGATGATTTACGTACTCCAGAATTATTATACTTATTATTATTATCACCACCGTTATTTTTTGACGGAGAACTATTATTATTATTATTATTATTATTATTATTATTAAACATTTGATTGAGTGTTGGATTATTAAAATAATTTTTATAATTTTTTAACGTTTCCGATGACGACGACAACGATGATAATGATGATGATATATTACCGTTTGAATTTTTATTATAATTATATGATTCTAACTGATCTCTCGAGGAAACAGTTTCGACCATTTTGATTATTTATATTATTAATAATAATAATAACTTACATATTAATTGAAAAATTTTTTTTCAACTTTTCACTACTAATGCACTACTACTACTAATAATAATAATAATAATAATAATAATTAAAAAATAGAATAGAATAGCCGACGCTATAGTATGTTGTCCAGCTCCAGTTTTTTTTAGTATATTTTCACACTTTTAATTTTTTTTTTTTTTTGCTCACATCTAACACGATATTATTAACGTAAAAAAAAATTTTAATAATATTAATAATAATAATAATAATAATAACTCGCGGTTTATTACATTCACAAATTATTTTAGCACTTAAATTTAAAAAAAAAAAATTATAATAATTATTTTACGAACTGGAGAAAAAAACCGTATTAAAAAATTTAATTATTATTATTATTATTAATCACGGGGATTCGCGGGGATTCGAATTTTTTTTTTTTTTTATGAAAAACTTAAAATATTCGATTATTAATCCTGTGGGAAAGAACTTGTTGTTTGATTTTAAATTGAAAAATAAATTTTTTTTTCTTATTTTCGATTCTCATGTCGTCGATTTCATTTTTATTGCGAAAAAAAAAAATTTTTTTTTTTTTTTTGTTTAACAACAACGACGACAAGAAAAAGGAAAAAAAATTTCATCTCATGTTTACCTTATGATATATATAAAAAATAATAATAACGAACGTTAAAAACTGGAAATCGTTAAAGTTCCAGCACGATTTCTATAAGGTAAGAATAAATGATGATATTCCATTGGGATTTCCGTTGTTGATTTTATGTGAATTATTTTATTCGGTTTGGATTTTATACACGAAACACCTCTTGATATTATTTCATTGGTCGATAATAATAATTATTATTATCGTGGGATGCAACTGGAGAAAAATTATCATCATTATTATTATTATTATTATTATTATTCACAAAGTTCTTGCAATTTAAAAAAAAAAACATATAATCAATCTTCCAAAAAAAAAAAATTTGTGATTTTTTATAACAATTTATTTTTTTTTATTTTAAAGAGACATAATAATAATAATAATAATAATAATAATAATAAATTTATGTAAATATTATTACAACAATCACGTTATAAATTTATTTAAAAAAAAATAATAATAATAATAAACGGATGTTCCTTCTCTCACAAAAAAAAAAAGAAAATTTTCTTTTTTCTGTTTTCCATGCATAATTTATAAGAGGAGAAAGAGAAAAATGGAGAAAAAAAAAAATTTAATTTTTCTTATTATTTTTACGGCTAAAACCAATTTTCCAGGGATAAAAAAAAAAAAAAATTTATTCCTGGAAAATTTGTTTATGGGATAAAAAGAAAATTTTTTTTAAATTTTAACGTCCAGAAAAATTTTTTTTTTTTTACTGTAAAAATTAATCAAACGATTTTAATAAGTTTTGGAGTGAAAAAAAAAAAAAAGAGAAAATTTTGATTTGTTGTTTGTCACCATCATCACCATCGCCATCACCATCATCACCATCATCATCATCATCATCATCGTGAACCACTTTACATTTTTCTCTTAAATTTAATTTTTTCAATTATCAAAGGCCTCGTGTTTCGGCTTTTTTTTTTTTTTTATTCAATATAAAATTATATTTATATGTAAATGCGAGTGTCAAAAACAGTGGATAATATGAAAATTTATATAAATATCATTGAAATCTCTGCGTCTTTTTTTTTCTTTCTATTTCTTTCTCTTTCTTTTTCTCTTTCTCTTTTTTTTTTTTTTTGGTATAAGAATAAAGAGAAATACTAATTGCCAATTTGCTCAACATCCCCTTGACTTTTTTTCTTTTTTTCTTTCTTTTATTTATTTATATTTTCTATTTGATAACAAAAAGGATGAATTTTCCGGAGTTTTGCTTTTCTATTTCAAAATACTTTTTTTTCTTCTTTTTTTTTGTTTTATTATTATTATTATTATTATTATTTACGATATGCAAAATTTATATATATATATATTTATTTATTAAAAAAAAAAAAAAAAAAAGAAAGAAAATTTTCTTTTCTTTTCTTTTTGTAATTTGAAATTTTCTTCTTTTTTTTTTACTATTACTTATTTATTATTATTATTTTTTTAAATGTAAATTATTATTATTATTATGCTTTTTTTCGATTGGTTTTTTGGAATTTTTGACAAAAAATAAATAAATAAATGAGAAAATTATAAATAAATTAATAAATTTTCAAAATGGCAAAATGAAAAAATAGCCATGATAAAATTAAATTCGACCAAAAAAAAAAAAAAGTAGGAGGAGGAGGAGGTGGAAAATTATTTAGTAAGTAGGAAACCATAAAAGAGTAAAGAGAGAGAGAGAGAGAAAAAAATAATAATAATGATAATATTTTAAGTAACTAAGCCCCCTCACAATTGGGTGGAAAACAAATCAAATGGGCTCAATCAACAATGTAAGGGCTCATGTCGGTTCAAATTAAAAATTCTCCCCGATTTTGTTTACAAAGAGCTTAATAAATAAAGAATAATAATGATAATGATAATGATAATAATAATGCAGATATTCCCTTACGCATATATTTATTTTTATTCTTAAATAATAAAATTAAACTTTTGAGGAAAAAAAATTCAAACGGAAAAATGAGGAAAAAAAAAAAAAAGAAGAAGAAGAAGAAGGAGGAGAAGGTAATATTTTAACCGTTTTTTTTTTTTACCCTGTAATTAAATTTAAAAAAAAAAAATTTAATAATTTTTACGACTAATATATATATATATATAAAATGAGAAAACATTTATGGAAAAAAAAAAAAAAAAGAGTCGGAGGCTGCGCTGGAGGCAGGGGATTCGAATTGACTGGATCCAATCCTGGAGCTCATTTAAAAGCCTCTAAACTTCTATTGGATGTCAATTAAATCCCCCCTCATCATCTCCCCTTCTTCTCTCTCACTCTCTATTTAATATCATCATCATCATCAAAAATATTTTCCTTTTTTCATCCTTTTTTTTTTGTCGAATGAACAAAAAAAAAAAAAAGGAAAAAAATTTGTTGTAATAATTTTAAATTTTAATTGGGTAAAATCGAATAATTATTATTTAAAAAAAAAAACGCCATTTTGTGTAAATACGTCGGTTTTTTATAAAAAAAAAAAAACCTTCTGGGTATAAACGACTTGTTACAACAACAAACAACAACAATAAAATTTTTTTTTGGTTAAATTCGGTTTATAACAAAAAAAATTTTTTTGTAATCTTAAAGATTGTTGTCCATTGTTCGTTTATATTTTGATTGTCGAATTAATTGTTACATGGAGCATGAAAATAAAAGGATAACACGCCTCAATAGTAAAAAAAACCTTTTTGAGATTAATATGGAAGCAAACAATTTTTTTTTTTTTTATATAAGAGAAGCTGATCAAATAAACTCAAAAGACCATTGACCCATGTCCAATATAGAACACACACACACACACA